ATTTGCAGCTCATCCACAGCTGCCACAAACACCCTGGAGCTCCATGCCAGACTCATTTCCTCGAGGTTTTGGGTCTGTGTTGGGAAAAAGAGCGTGGTTTTGGGGAGGAAAGGCATTATCCTTGTGGAAATGCCCTGCTGGCATCCCACCTCCCCTGGCTGTGCAGCTCTGGGGAGGAACCCTGCCTTGTGTCGAGTGAGGCTGGATTATTTTATTTCTCATGAAATGAACAACTCCTGGCTGAGCCAAAGGCCTGGATCCGTGCTTTTGGCTTTGGAAAGCAGGATGCTGGATGAATTTCTGTCCTCTGAGGGTTTGGTCTGAGGTGGGCAGGAGGGAAAAGGTTCTGCTGGGTGTGAGGCTGCACTTGGACATCCCCCACAAGCACCACCATGGTTGTCCTTGGTAGGGCAGCCAAGCAGATCTGAGCTCTGGGCTGAGAGCCACGCTGATCCTGCCAGAATTCCTGCTGCAGCCAGGATGTTGAAAAAAACATGGAATTATCCAGGCTGGAAAAATCCTTCAGGGCTGTCGAGTCCCATCTGTGCCCCATCCCCACCTTGTCACCATCCCAGGGCTCCGAGTGCCACCTCCAGCCCTTCCTGGGACACCTCCAGGGATGGGAACTCCAAACCTCCCTCCAATGCCTGTCAGCCCTCTCCATGAGGAAATTCCTCTCTTTTCCCAGCCTGTGCGCTTGTGCCTGATGTGTGCAGGGAGGGGACTCTGGTGGGTCTCAGTCTGTGGGTCACAAGTGCCAATCTGGGCAACTTTTTAAATCAAAACACGTCTGGATTTGGCCAAATTCGGAGTTAAAAATAAATGCATGTGACAGGGTGGCTTCAGGGATACTTGAAGCTCATTGTTCCCTTTTCCTAGAGTTTGCCACCTCCCAGAGTCCTCCACCAGAGCCTTCCCTGACCTCTATTAAGCCCAGATTGGCTGATTTGTAATTGATTTCTTCCCCACATGTGCATGAGGGAGAGCTGGAGAAGCCTTTGCTTCCTGTGTGCTTCTGCAGAGAGAAGAGAGAGGGAGAGAGAGACCTGCTGAGCTGGGAACGAGGGTGTGGGTGGGATGGAGACCATCAGAAATGTCACCTCATGGATGTGGCAGTCCTGGCTGGGTGGGGACAGCGGTGGCACCTCTGGGGCCGAGTTCTGAGCCTGGTCTGGTCACCCGTGTTGAGAAATTGGTAAAGAATTCTCAGAATCTGTGTGAAACCCTGAGATGAGCTGTGCTCGCTTAGGAATAGAGATTGAATTGTTGAGATTGAACTAGAAACAAGTTTTGACAAGTTTCAAAATACAACCTTGCAAAAAGACCAGGAATTTTAGAGAATTAGAGCTGTGAAAGATGCATTGTGGCAGGAACACGTGGGGTAAAAATACAGGTGATTGGTGCTAGAAATAATTATGAGCACTGTGAGGTAAAAGCTCACAGGCTGGGAAATATTTCTGAGGGATTGTAACCAGGAAAGAGGGTGATGGAATAGCCTTGAGTTTTATATCTCTTATATCTCACCCTTCGTGGAGACTGAAAATGGAATAAAACCTTTGAAAACACCTCTCAGTTGCCCTGAAAAGGGTGGGAAAAGCAGCAGCCCCTGATGCAGGAGATGAATTATCCCACTCTGCATGGAGAGGATCCGAGCTCGTGGTGTCCCCACCCCACCCCGCTCTCCTCCCCAGCTCATTTGGGTAAAATCTCTCATCTTTGGCACAGATGGAAGTGGGTCCTTTTCCTGAGAGCTCCTCCACTGTCTCCCCAAATTCTCCAGCTCTCCTAAGGGCATCCTTCAGGCTTTTTCCCCCTTTTTTCACCTGAGGTGAGCAGTGTTTGCTGCTTGCCCAGGAATCAATCCAGCTCGCTAAGGTGAGCTGTCAAAACTTCTCCAAGGGCACGGGCATTCCTCATGTTTTCACCACCAAATTATATGTGACAATTTAAAGCTTAAACACGGAGCCTCACTGGCAGGGAGATTGCTGGAAGGTATTGATTTTACTGTGTTTTTTTGTGTTTATGTATAAAAACGTACTTTAAAGTATTGGTAAAAGGACATTATTGCTGGGCAGACTCTGGATTTATGCTCTGGTTTATTTTTCTCTCAGGCTTTTTTAAGATCCATTTGTCTGTGAACAACAAAATACTGGGAGGAAATGGATGCCGTGGATTTGGGGGGTTTTGTGCTCCTTGAGTCAGACAAATCCCAGGGTGTGGAACTGAGTCACTTGGAGCTGATTTTCTAGAAGGAGAAGAAGTTTCTGATGTTCTGTTGGGTGCTTGGAGGCATTTTGGGTGTCTCCAAACTTTGCAAACTGCTCAGGAGGTTCGTGGCTTTGAGCTCTGGGCCGTTTAGCTGATGGGAAATTGTTTTAAAGAAAAGTAAAAGTCAAAAATAACCAAAATAAGGTTATTTTGGTTGCCATTTAGCTGATGGGAAATTGTTTTAAAGAGAATTAAAAGTCAAAAATAACCAAAATAATGCGAGCAGGGCAGGATCTGGGGTGGGTTTGAGTCTGGAGGAGTTGGAATTTGGTGCAGGACCCACCACTGGTGCTCTGCTCAGTGTTTGGAGCCCTTGCTGTGAGTGGAGGTGAGGTTTGGTGATGGGCTGGGCTCTGTCCTGTTGTTCTCTGGGTGATTTCGTGTCCTCCTCACTGCTGGAATCTCCTTGGGGAGGAGAACTGCTGACTCCCCGTGCTGCCAGAGCCTTTCAGCTTTGCTCAGGGAACATCTTCCCTTTTTTTTTGGGTTTTGACAGAGCTCTTGGCTCGAGACCACGCAGGAACAAAGTTGTGGCAAAATTGGTCATTAAAATGATGGAAAAGCAGCGCTGGGGGAGAGACTGAGAGCTCAGAGTGTGAAAAAGGACAGGGAGAGGGTTGGTGATGGCACCTCTGGGGGTGAGACCCAGCAGGGCAGGGGTGGGAGCTGGAGGGGACAATTCCCAAGGAGCAACATGGGAAAGGTGGAATTTGGAGAGGAAAGGTGGAATTTGGAGAGGAAAGGTGGATTCAGCCCCTCTGGCTGTGGGGACAGGAGACCCTCCTGGCAGAGCTGTCCCAGTGACAGCTCCACTGCCCTGGAGCACACAGGAGGTTCCTGTGGGCTCCAGAATGGTTTGGGTGGGAAGGAACCTGGAAACCCATCCAGCCCCACCCCTGCCATGGGCAGGGACACCTCCCACCATCCCAGGCTGCTCCTTGGGCACTTCCAGGGACTGGGGGCAGCCACAGCTTCTCTGGGAATTCTATTCACAGCCAAGAATTCCTGTCTAATCCGACCCTCTGGCACTGGGAAGCCATTCCCTGTGTCCTGTCCTTCCATCCCTCATCCCAAATCCCTCTCCAGCTCTCCTGGAGCCCCTTTAGGCCCTGGAAGGACTCTGAGCTCTCCTTGGATCCTTCCCTTCTCCAGCAGATCCACGTCCTTCCTGTGCTGAGGACCCCAGAGCTGAACACGGAGGGTGGAGTCGCCTCCTCCTGCTCACCCCATTCCCACCCTGACTCCTGCATCCTCTTTTCCAGCTGAATATTCCATCCCCCCGGAGCTGTCAGCAGCTGAAAGCTCCAAGAGTGGCTTTCCATGGGAATCCAATCATCCCCACACAAATATTTCCACTCGTAATGGTTTCAGCGTGGGTTTTTTTTTTGTGGGATCAGATGTAATCTTGTTTAATGGAGTTCTCCTGCTTTGGTCTTTTCACCAGGCTGGGTTAATTTATTTAAAAATTGGAGATTGTTCAGAGCAGAGGCAGGGGAAGGACTGGAGGGATTGAACGGGCTGGGAAATGTGGGATGGATGGATGGATGGAGTGACTTTGGATCAGCCCCAAACCCCCCAAGCCCCAAATCCTTTTGTGGCTCAGAGGACGGGGCACCACAGCCCCAAACCCCAAAGCTTTGTGGTTTCAGAGGATGGGGCACCACACACAGCCCCAAACCACAAATCCTTTTGTGGCTCAGAGGATGGGGCACCACAGCCCCAAATCCTTTTGTGGCTCAGAGGATGGGGCACCATGGCCCCAAACCCCCAAACGCTTTGAGGTTTCAGAGGATGGGGCACCACACACAGCCCCAAATCCTTTTGTGGCTCAGAGCATGGGGTACCACACACAACCCCAAATCCTTTTGTGGCTCAGAGGATGGGGCACCACACACAGCCCCAAACCCCAAAGCTTTGTGGTTTCAGAGAATGGGGCACCACAGCCCCAAACCCCCCAAGCCCCAAATCCTTTTGTGGCTCAGAGGATGGGGCACCACACACAACCCCAAATCCTTTTGTGGCTCAGAGGATGGGGCACCACACACAGCCCCAAACCCCAAATCCTTTTGTGGCTCAGAGGATGAGGCACCACACACAGCCCCAAACCCCAAATCCTTTTGTGGCTCAGAGGATGGGGCACCACACACAGCCCCAAACCCCAAAGCTTTGTGGCTCAGAGGATGGGGCACCACAGCCCCAAACCCCAAAGTTTGTGGCTCAGAGGATGGGGCACCACAGCCCCAAATCCTTTTGTGGCTCATAGGATGGGGCACCACAGCCCCAAACCCCCCAAACCCCAAATCCTTTTGTGGCTCAGAGGATGGGGCACCACAGCCCCAAATCCTTTTGTGGCTCAGAGGATGGGGCACCACAGCCCCAAATCCTTTTGTGGCTCAGAGGATGGGGCACCACAGCCCCAAACCCCAAAGCTTTGTGGTTTCAGAGGATGGGGCACCACAGCCCCAAATCCTTTTGTGGCTCAGGGGATGGGGCACCACAGCCCCAAACCCCAAAGCTTTGTGGTTTCAGAGGATGGGGCACCACAGCCCCAAATCCTTTTGTGGCTCAGGGGATGGGGCACCACACACAGCCCCAAACCCCAAAGTTTGTGGCTCAGAGGATGGGGCACCCCAAACCCCAAATCATTTTGTGGCTCAGAGGATGGGGCACCCCAAACCCCAAACCCCCAAGCCCAGCTGGGCCCTGCAGCCCGTCCCTGCCCTGCCCCACAGGTGGTGCGCACGGAGAAGAACAGCCTCAACAACCGCTTCCTGCCCTGGGACGAGATCGACACCGAGGCCATCCTGTCCATCGACGACGACGCTCACCTGCGCCACGACGAGATCATGTTCGGCTTCCGGTGAGTCCTGCCCGTGCCAGGAGCTGCTCAGGGCTGGCACGTCCCTTCCCGAGGGCTCCCGGCTCCGTTCCTGGGAAGAACACGCGGGAATGGGGTGGGGAACGTGATCCCAGCTTGGCCAGGAACCCGTTCCCCACACGGCTTAACACGGCTCTGCGGCTTTTGCTGTGGCTTCCCGGGGGGACAGAGCCTGGAGAACAAATCCAGAGGTGGTGCCACCCTCTGCTCCGTGTGACACGGGGCTGGGATGGTTCTTCGGGCAGAGCAGGCACAGGTGTCCCCAGCAATGGCAGATGTGTCCCCAACAATGCAGATGTGTCCCCAACAATGCAGATGTGTCCCCAACAATGCAGATGTGTCCCCAGCAATGCAGGTGTGTCCCCAGCAATGCAGATGTGTCCCCAGCAAAGGCAGATGTGTCCCCAACAATGCAGGTGTGTCCCCAGCAATGCAGGTGTGTCCCCAACAATGCAGGTGTGTCCCCAACAATGCAGGTGTGTCCCCAGCAATGCAGATGTGTCCCCAGCAATGCAGATGTGTCCCCAGCAATGCAGATGTGTCCCCAGCAATGCAGGTGTGTCCCCAGCAATGACAGATGTGTCCCCAGCAATGCACCAGGCTCCTTCAGAGAGATGAGAAATGAGGTGTGAGAGGGACTAAAGTGCATCAGGATTCCCGGCTTCCCTTCCCTGCCCCATTCCAGGCTCTTTATCCAAACTGGGCTGTGTTCTCCCCTTTTTTGGTCTCTGTTTTGCTGATTAGCCCTGGAGAGCATCAAATGAAGGTTTAATCTCACTCATGGCCCTGCTTGCAGACACCCTGTTCCTACAAATCCTCCTGTGTTAACACGTTCCCAGGAGCTGCTGGAGCCAACCTCTGCCCACAGCAACTCTGCTTTGTCTAAACTTCGCTCCAGGCTTTGATGTTTGGGGCCAAAACCATCGTTTTTGCCTGTTTGCCACTCAGGAGGGAGCTGGAAACAGCTCTCTGAGCACCCCCAGAAGCGTTCTCCAGAGAAATCCTGATTTTTGTGGCTGAGCTGGGAAGGAAAAAGTGTCACGTTCATAGGAAAGCGAAGATGTGGGAAAAGTGAAAGGGAATCAGTGGTTTAGACTTGCAGCTTTTCTAAACAATCACCCTGGCTTGGGGGGAGGATCGAGCCAGGGAAGCTGCTGGTGGTGTTGATTCCTCAGGATTATCTTGGAGTTTCCTTAATTGGAGTGGAGGACTGAACAGCAAACACGACTGTGCTCTGTGAGGGTGGGGAGAATCTCCTCCTGTAGCTCTCCCAGAGCAGGGCCTGTGGGAGAAACTCACATCCAAACGAGGGAAAAACCCCAAAATGGTCCTTTTTCCCAGTTTTGTGCCTGGGAAGAAGGGAACACCCTTCTGTGCCCACTGGGAGTTGTCTCATGCAGGACTGAGCGATCCAAAGGGAGCCAGCACTGGGGAACTGGGTTTGTTTCCCAGCTTAGGCATCAGGCACTGACTTTTTCCTTAATTATTGCTGCCAGTGTTGCAGCTCTCCTGGGGGATTTCTCTGGAGGAGCGTGAGCTGCAGATGAGAGCAGAACATTAGGCAATCCCACGCTCCACATGCAGAATTCAGGATTTCATTCCCAAGGCTGGACTGTGAGCACGAGTCGGGGTGAGGGAGGCACTCGGGGCTCCAGAGGCTTTTCCTGTGGGGCCAGAGCCCAGGAGCTGCAGTTTGGGATGAGGAGACAGCACCTTGGCAATCCAGGTTTTCCCTCGGGACACAACTGCAGCATCTCAGCAGCTTTTTATGGAATTATGGAATTTTCAGAGTCCTGGAACGGTTTGGGTGGGAAGGCACCTCAAAGCCCACCCAGTCCCACCCCTGCCATGGGCAGGGACAGTTTCCACTATCCCAGGCTGCTCCAAGCCCTGCCCACCCTGGCCTTGGAGCTTTCCTTAAGGGAGGCTGATGTTGTCTTGGCTTTGCTGAGCTGCTGGGAGGTGGAAAGTCCCAACGATTTGGGGAAGAGGCCAGGAGATGTTGGGCTCTTCCCAGAGGCTGTTCTGGCTTTCTTTTAAACCTCTGGAACAGCCTTTATGAGCCACAGAATCCCTAATTTGTGGATTAGGAGCACTTTCCCTGTGCAGAAGCAGCTGGGCTGTGCTCAGGGACAGGAGCACATTTAACACTGCTGGGATTCCTTGGATCAGCAGCTGCCAGACTCCTTTGTGAGCAGACCCCTGCATCCCTCACAGCCCCTCAGGAGCTCCGGGTGGGCTCCCAGCTCTGTGTCTGACCGAGTTCTGTGTTTGCAGGGTGTGGAGAGAGGCCAGGGATCGCATCGTGGGCTTCCCGGGGCGCTACCACGCCTGGGACATCCCCCACCAGTCCTGGCTCTACAACTCCAACTACTCCTGCGAGCTCTCCATGGTGCTCACTGGTGCTGCCTTCTTCCACAAGGTGAGACCCCCCCAGGGCTGCCCTTCCTCTCACAGCCACTCGAGGATGCAGCTTTGGGCGGGTTGTGGTTTTTAAGGACAAAAGTGGGAACTTTCTGCTCCTTCCCCCTCACTTTGGCCAGACTGAAACACAGCCAGAACCTGGTCCTGAGCGGGCTGGGAAGGATCTCCAGTGGCTGCTCGTGCTGTGCTGAATCCACAGCAGCAGAGAGCAGGATCTGAGGGGGCTGTCACCCCCACCCCTCCATTCCTGAGCTTCCAGGGGCGGGTGGTGGCTGTGGGAGGTTCAGCGGATGTCGGTGCGGGATTCACTCCTTTACGGGGAACATCTCCACTGGGATCTGTGAGTTTTGAGTGGGACACACCCCACATGTCACCTGTGGGGCACCTGGGGGACGCTGTGGCTTTCCCCTTGCAGTACTACGCGTACCTGTACTCCTACGTGATGCCCCAGGCCATCCGGGACATGGTGGACGAGTACATCAACTGTGAGGACATCGCCATGAACTTCCTGGTGTCCCACCTGACCAGGAAACCTCCCATCAAGGTAAAGCACCGGCAGCCAGGGGCTTGGCACTGCTGGAGAAGCTGTGCTGGGGAGTGGGTGGTGTCTGCTCCAGTGGGACAAAGCAGAGCCTGTGGAACCAGGAATCCCTGCCACAGAGCCGGCGAGTTGAGGTTTGGCATCACAGCGTTAATCAGACTGAATTCCCTGCCTGGTCAAAGGTTCCCTGCCCACGGCAGAGATGATCTCCACTCTGGACCAGGCTGAGAGCTGGGGGTGCTCACCTGGGGAAGAGAAGGATCCAGGGACAGCTCAGAGCCCCTTCCAGGGCCTAGAGGGGCTCCAGGAGAGCTGGAGAGGGAGCTGGGACAAGGGATGGAGGGACAGGACACAGGGAATGGCTGCACACTGCCAGAGAGCAGGGATGGATGGGATATTGGGAAGGAATTCTTGGCTGTGAGGGTGGTGAGGCCCTGGAATAGAATTCCCAGAGAAGCTGCAGCTGCCCCTGGATCCCTGGAAGTTTCCAGGGCCAGGTTGGAGCAGCCTGGGACAGCGGGAGGTGTCTCTGCCCATGGCTGGGATAGGACTGGATGAGCTTTGAGCTCCGTTCCAGCTCAGCCCATCCTGAGCTTCCCTGTGGATCCGACCCCCGGCAGCGCTGACCCCTCCGTCCATTCCATCCCATCCCGGCAGGTGACCTCCCGCTGGACCTTCCGCTGCCCCGGCTGCCCCCAGGCGCTTTCCCACGACGATTCCCACTTCCACGAGCGGCACAAGTGCATCAACTTCTTCGTGAAGGTGTACGGGTACATGCCCCTGCTCTACACCCAGTTCCGCGTCGACTCGGTCCTCTTCAAGACCCGCCTGCCCCACGACAAGACCAAGTGCTTCAAGTTCATCTAGGGACGGGAGCGGCTGGAGGCGGGAGAGGCCGTGGGGGGCTGTGAGTGCAGAACGCCCTCAGCTGTGGCAAACGGGACAGACGGGATTGGGACGGGCTTTTCCCCCCTTCCCTGAGTCCCAGGGCGGCTCACCCAGACAGGGAATGGGATCCCTGAGCTCCTGTGAGGACACAGCCACGGATTGTACACTGAGCAATGGCTGGCTGGCCACTGGCTCTGCCCCTTCGCTAGCCAAGGGCAGCCGTTCTTTTTAATTATAATTATTGTTATTTAAAATGAAAGTGTTTTAGATTTGCCGCCTGAGGCGCTTTTTTGTTTTGTTTTGTTTTGTTTTCCCTCCCCTCTCCCCACCCCGTTTCCCCCTCTGGAGCCTCCAGCCCACCCAGGGGACGGTAGCAAGGCCAGGTTGGAGGTGTTTGGGTGCAGCTGTGGGGCAGCTCCTGTCCCCACTGCCGTCCCCATCCATCCTCCCGTGGCACAGCCCTTCCCACCCACCAGATCCGGGCTTCTCTTGCCCGGTGGCGACTACTGAGGCCTCTCAGGTGTCACCTGGTGAGGAGCCCTTTGCTCTGCTTTGCTCTGCTCCCCACCCTGAGCCCCTGGAGAGGGCTGGGGTTGGCCTGGCTGGTCCTTGTGGCTCCAGCTCTGCCCCCACGCCGTTCCCGTGCAGTTGCTGCTGTCTCAGTGTCTTTTCCCACCTTGTCCTGCTGATCCTCTCAAGACAGGGAGCGTGTTTGGGGCTTAGGGAAGATCCAGCTGCAGCACAGCCAGGGCTGGGGGTGCTGCAGGCTCCTGGAGGCTCTGACCCTTCTCTGTGCTCAGCATGGGCGTGCCAGAGCTGCAGTTCCCCCCTGCCTCGTCCCCATCCTGGAGCACACCGTGCCCATGTTGGGTCTGCCGTGGGCCTCAGCCCAGCTGCCTTAACCCCAGCCCATCCTCATGGCCTGGCTTTGGGCTTAACCCCAGCCCATCCTCACGGCCTGACTTTGGGCTTAACCCCAGCCCATCCTCGGCCTGGCTTTGGGCTTAACCCCAGCCCATCCTCGGCCTGGCTTTGGGCTTAACCCCAGCCCATCCTCGGCCTGGCTTTGGGCTTAACCCCAGCCCATCCTCAGCCTGGCTTTGGGCTGTGTCCGAGGCTTAGTCCCAGCAGGAGCTTCCCAGCGTGTGATGCTGCTGGGATCACGTTCCCAGGTGGGAAGGTGACACTCGTGTGGTCACTCGATGTCCCTGGTTCTCCTGGATGTCACCGCTGGCGTGTCTCTGGTGTGTGGGAGCAGGGATGGTCCAGCAGCAGCTCCTGGGCTCATTCCCAAGGTTAGCCCTGACCAGACTCACGTTTTGGGGCCTCTCCAGGTTTTCCTGTCCGTGCTGACACTCCCTCTGTGGGGAGGGAAGGAGCAGCCCGTTCCCAGCAGAGCCCATGGCTCGTGCCTTCACCAGCACCACTGACCACAGCAAAACACGCATCAAGGAGTCTTTTCCTGGATTTTTTCCCCCTTTCCATTCCCTTTTTGTTTTAACATCAGATGCCCAGAACGAAGCACGTGAATTCTCACAGTCTCCTTAAAAATGCCACAGGAGACTCCTGGGAGGCTCTGGAACACCTGGAAGGATTCTCTGCCCCTGCCCAGGGTGGAAATGTGGCACTTGTCAGGAGCTGTGTCAGCTCCAGCATTCCTGAGGGTCCTGAGCTCCTCTTCCATGGCTTTAATTCCGCCCTCATTAGTGGGGCTCGTTAGCCTGGGAATTCTGCTTTTCCTTGCTGAGTTTCGATTCAAGGCCAGTTGAAGTCGGGGATCAGCAGGACAAATCCAGCTGTTCTTCCTCCCAGCTCTTTGGCCTTTCCCCAAGCTGGTTTTATTTGCTGGGAGGGTTCCCCTGTCCACTGTGCTGGAGCAAGGACAGGATGTGCAGGGGGATCTCTCTGCGTGTCGTGGGATGAATTCCTCCTTGCTGAGCACCCCTAAAGGGGAAAGATTTGGGGGTGAAGGGGTAAAGAGGCTTTTCCTGGGAGATACCTGGGCAGCAGCAGCATTGGGAGGGATGGAATTCTGTGGGGAAATGAAATGCCAGCAGGAACACCTTCCCCACCCACCCACAGGGCTGTGCTGCCCCTCCCGGTCCTACTGCTGCAGCTCTTTCCCAAATCACCCCAAACACCACCGAACCCCTGGAGTGCAGGATTGGGATTGACAGCCCAGCTTGCTGCTCCTCAGACATGCCAGCACCTGAGCTGTCCTGAGCCCCTCCAGAGGAGGAGGGGGCTTTTCCAGAGAGTGCTCCTGCCCGTGCTGCCACCCCAACAGCCTTCCTTGCCACCACCCATCGTTCTCCCGGGATTTTCAGGGCATCCCTGGGGCACTCCGAAGCTCAGGTTTGGTTGTGTGATCCATCCCAGCTCCACCGCCCCAGCCCTGAGGAGATGGGAAGGGCTCTCGGCAGCTGCACCTTTTCCCTGTTCCAGAGTTCCTGCTGCTTCCCCCGGGCACGGAGCGAGGCCTTTCCCACTGTAAATAGCAACGACTGAGGTGACACGGCCCCACCCTGCCCGTGTCACTCCCTCCCCTTGTGCCCTCGGTGCTGTGAGCACCAGGATTTCAAATCCAACAGGAACTGAGAGACAAGGAACACTCCTTCGACACGAGCACAATGTTGAGTTTTTTGTAAAAGGTTCCAATAAATGGAGAGTTTAACTTGGGAGTGTCTCGGTGCCTCTTTGCTGGGGCTGGGAGAGGGGCCCAGGATGGGGCTGGTGCTGCTCCCCAAAACCAGGAATCTCCTGGGATTCATTCCCAGGTCTGGATGCTGGAAACTCCTCAGGGATGGCAGTGCCTGGAGCTAAATAAACCCCATCGTGTCCCTGGTGAGCTCATGGCTGGGCCAGGAGAGTCCCTGGGAGGAGCTGGACCCTGAGTGGCTTCCAGGGACATCCCACCCATCCCATCCCATCCCATCCCTGGGGCTGCTGCCTGTGTGGGTGTTTGTGGGCAATGGCAGCAGCAGCTGAGCCAAACTGGGATTGCAAACCCATCCCTGCCCGGGGATCCAGAGCCCAGAACCTTTAGGGGAGTGCCAGGATGCTCCTGGTCCCTCTCCTGTGCAGGAGGCTGAGGTGGAAAACCCAAAAGGATCCACGAGGTTTGTAAGCAGATTCCCAGCTTCAAACCTGCAGGGAGGAGCAGAGGGGAGGAACGGAGCCAGCTGGGCCATGAGCCATGGGATCCTCTCCATACTGGGATGGGAATCCCCCAGGATTTCCTGCACATGGCTGGGTTTCCTCTCTTCCTTCCTGCTGCCTTTTGTTTTTTGCTCTTCCTGCACGGTCACTTTTTACCTCTGCTGTCACTTTTCCCCTCTGTGCCTCCTGCCCTTGCTGCTGCTCCCACAGGGAATCGTGTCCTTTCTTTTCCCTTCTGCCTTGGAGTAAGGCTTGCTTTGTGCTTGGGTTAGTTTCCAGGAGAGGTTTCAGGGAAACCCCAAAGGATTTTAGTCCTAGAGGGAGGAGGTGGATGCTCAGCTTCCCAAATGCCTGTGATTTCTCCCCAAAACATTGCAGGGAGATGCTGGTTTGGGATCTGCCTCCCAAAAGAGCCCAGCAGCATCTTGGACACAGACTCAGCTGGAGCCCATTTTCTCCTGAGGCTTTTCCTGAGGTAAAAATCTCCTGATCAATATTTTTTTCCTGCTGTAACTGCTGTGTTTGGTGAGAGGAGCCACAGCTCCGGTTCCATTTCCGTTTCTCTGTGAGGGTTTGTAGCCTGGGATGAGGAAACAGAGGCGATAAACCCTGTTAATAATTCATTCCCTGCTCCCAGGAGGAGGGCAGGGTGAAGTGCTTTACACTCCACTCCTCTGCACTACAAAGTGCCCTCGATTCTCCCTTTTGGATGATGCACTCCTTGATAAAAAGCAATTTGGCTGGAATTGCTCCAGTCTGCCCAGCAGTGCCATGAAAGCCATCAGCTCCTGGAAAGGACCCGCTGCCACCCCTTCCTGCCTGACTGGCCCCAGGTGAGGGCTCCTTGAGGGAGGACCTGTCCCCCTCGTGGTCTTCAGGGATGGAGTCCATAGATCCTTGAGGGATGGGGGTCACAGTCCATGGATCCTGCAGGGATGGAGTCACAGTCCATGGATCCTCCAGGGATGGGGTCACAGTCCATGGATCCTCAAAGCATGGGGGTCACAGTCCATGGATTCTTGAGGGACTGGGTCACAATTCATGGATCCTCAGGCACTGAATTCACAGTCCATGGATCCTCAAGGGAAGAACTCACACTCCATGGATCCTCAAAGGATGGGGGTCCCAGTTCATGGATCCTCAAGGGAAGAACTCACAGTCCATGGATCCTCAAGGGAAGAACTCACACTCCATGGATCCTCAAAGGATGGGGTCACAGTCCATGGATCCTCAAGGGAAGAACTCACACTCCATGGATCCTCAAAGGATGGGGTCGCAGTCCATGGCTCCCAGGTGACAGCTCACCTGTGCCAGGTGAGTGGGACCTGTCAGATCCCACCATGAGCCTGCCCAGGCCATGGTGTGCAGCCAATCCCAAATCCCTCTGCTCTCATTCCCACTCCTCCCAAAGGCTGAGCTGCTGGTGGGGCACAGATCCAGCACCTGGCTCCGGTTTCCCTCTGCTCCTCACGTCCAGGTGCCCACGGAGGTGACAGATCGCAGTGACAGTGACAGAGCCTGGCCAGGGACCTGGCATTAACTGACCTGGTCCAGTTGTTTTCATTGGGTCTCACATTAATGGACAGGAAACACAATGAACTCCTCTCCACCCAGGGACAGCTGTTCCCTAAAAGCCATCCAAGAACAGAAATCTGGTTTTAACCTTTCCTCCCCATTATTTCTGTGGGAGCACGGGGTTGGGAATCACTGGGAATTAATTATTTGCCATACACCCCACTAATTGTGTTTAATGGGGGAGCAGTGGAGAGAGGCTGGAGCAGCTCGGGGAGGGATGTGGGATCCAGGGAATGGGGATGACCACGGCAAAAGGAACCACGTGGGGGCCAAGGGGATTTATTTTCCCTTCTGGGAGAAGGAGAGTGAAGCCAGGAGCCTGTGCTGTTCCTTGGCCATTAAATTGGGAACTTCTGGATAAAGCCTGGACTGTATCCATGGTACTCTTCCCCTGGCAGCTCCCTGGGCTGCCACAGTTCCCTCTGCAGGACTGACCCACCCTGGAGAAACGCTGTTTGTTTTTCTCTCTCTTTGCAAAAAGAACAAGCACTTCTTTTTCCAGTTTAATTAGGGCTTCTCATTACAGAATTCCCCTCCCAGCATGTTTGTTTTTCCAGCACGCACAACCTGAATATAACAAAACAATCCACTCTCAGCTGCTGGGCTGATGGAACAATGAGAACTTTTCCTGCTCAAAATGACAAGAAAAATGTGAAAGCTTTTAATTTTTACTTTCTCCCCCTGAGGAGGTTGGGAAAGCCTTGGGAATGTGAAATGGAAGGCACTGGAGCAGTGGAAAAGATGAGTTTATCCCACTGCCTCTCTGGGTTAGGAATAATCCCTTTGGAGTTTATTAAAGTGAAATTATCCCAGTTTTTTTTTAACTTTTAAGTGATGCTAAAGCATCAAACCTCCAAACCCAGATGAGGATTTAATTCCACTGCCCCAAGTTGTTCCCATTGATGACACCACTCCTCACACACCCATGGCACACCCAGAATAAAGGTGTGGGTGCTAGAATCTGCACATCCAACCCAGCAGAAATCCTTCACGGGAATGAAATGGGATGTGGACACTGCAGTGGCAAAGAGATTTTATCACGGAGCTGCTTCCACTGCCTGCATCTCCCCAAAGGGATGAACTGGAGGAGCAGCTTTATTTCCCAAAGGACAAGGATGTGGAATGGGCACGGAGAGGCTTTTATAAACCACAGGATGTGCTCCCTCCTGGGCAGTCTCACTCTGCTTTTTATTTTTAAACACCAAATAAATACAAAACAATCCAATAAAAAATGAACAGCAGTAAATCTGAGAAATGGGTCGCCTTTGAAAGCAATACTATTGACTGAGGGGAGGCCCCAAATATGTGATTTGGGGAGGGAAAATCCTCCCCAGGTCTGCAGTACAGATGGCTTTGGATAAATGACTCAGAATTCCATCCAGGATTTGAGATGGGGGGGGCTGCAAGGAAAGTTTTTGGACGGTAGAAACAAGAGGCACTTAAATCTTGAAAGGTTTTTTACGAACATCAGGAATTTTCCTACTTTATGGACATCCCTAAGTGTCTTCCTGAGGTGTTTCCTCCAGTGCTGATGGAGGAACCCAGGAGGAACCAGCTTCAGGGAAGGGCCTGGAGCTCCATGGACACATCTGCATGGAACAGGTGAGGCTGCAGCATCAATAAACACTTCAATTCCTAAAGGATAAAGCTTTTCCAAAGTCCCTCTGCTTGTGCAGGGAATGGCCAGGCTCTTCCCACTGTTCTCCATGTCCACCAGATCCCCTTTTCCCATTTTTATTTGTGAATCTTTGCCTCAGCAGCTCTCCCCTCCTCGTGCCAGTGAAGGACACGAGAGCAGCACACAGGGAATGGGATCTGGGGATGGGGAAGAAGCAGTGGGAGGAAAATATTGTTTCAATATCCCTACAGAGTTCTGTCAGTGAAGGACTGGGCCAGAGACTGCTGAGGGACACAGGGGAGCAGCAGCTCACCCTGATGCTGTAAATAAACACTCCAGTTATTTACTCTGCAGCTCCTATCTCCTGTAAGATTCCTAGCTCCCAATTTTACACAACAGGAATCTCCTGCAAAGTATTCCAAAACAGGTTAAAAATAAGATTTTAAAAATAGATATTAAAAATACTCCCTTTGTCCTCCATGAAGGGGAAGGTGGTTTCTGGTCTCTCTGAATCACAGAATTCTCTCTCTCTCTCTCTCCTTGGACAACTCCAAGTTCTGCTGCTCCAGGCTCTCTCCTTGCAGAGCCTCCTGGTGTCCATGAGCTAAAATTTCTGCAGGAATTTGAGCACCAGGTCCCGCAGTTTGACCCTCAGGGGCTCGTCATTGTCACAGATGATGTGGGTGGAGTCCTCCTCCAGCTGGATCAGGGTCTCTGCCTCCTGCAGCAGCACAATGTGGCCCTTGGCCGTGTCCTCCACCTTCACGTCGCTGAAGCCGTGCTGGATTTGGGGTGGGAGAGGGAGAGAGGGAAATCAGCACAGCTCAGGAAAACTGGGAGAGGAGAGACCAGGGCACAGGGGTGAGGGGGAATTTCATGGAGTCACAGATTGGTTTGGCTGGGAAGGGACCTTAAATCTCATCCAGTGCCACTCTCTGACATGGCAGGGACACTTTCCATGATCCCAGCCTGCTCCAAGCCCTCTCCAACCTGGCCTTGCACACTGCCAGGGAAGAATTCCTTCCCAATACTCCATCTAACTGTGCCCTCTGTCTGTGGGAAGCCACCCCGTGTCCTGTCCCTCCATCCCTTGTCCCAGGTCCCTCTCCAGCTCTTCTGTAGCCCCTTCAGGCACTGGAGGTCTGCAGTCCTTTATTTCCTGCAGGTGAGAACTAGACTCCACAGAGCAGCAACCAAATTTGTGCAGCTTCCTCAGGAGGTTCCTCTACCAGTGGAGACATTTCCAGGATGTGTTCTTCAATTCTTCACAGGTGAAACCACCTTCTTACAGGTCTTGTGGAAATTTAAATGCTTTTGAGACTCCCTCAGCTGCTGAATCCAAAAGTCCTGTGAGGCAAATCACCCACCCAAAAGCTCTGCTTCCATGGGAAACAGGAGGAGATCACTGGCAGGAACCCTGCACAGGAGGACAAGGCTCCACAGGGAACCATTCCCTCTGTTCTGAAGTGCAGGGATACCCTGGAGCACTTGGCAACTCACTGGCCTTTCTCCATTTCAAGCTACACTAAAATGATTTCCCATCTCTCTGCTACCAAAGCAGCACATCTGAGATGTGCAGAAATCTGCTGGAATCCCACCTGCCACCCAAGACTCCTCACCTTCTCCAGAGTCTGCACAAACTGGTCCATGGGGATGGAGCCACTCAGCAGCGGCTTCAAAGATTTGCCCTCGGGCACATCATCACTCACCCGCTTCCTCTTCTTGCTGGCAGGAGGCTGGGGAGGTTTTGGAGGGAGCTGATGGATAAAAAGGAAAAAAAATCCCACTCTAAAGGATGCAACAGGTTGGGAAACAGGCAAATTTAGAGTGAGCAACTAGTCAGGGAATGATAATGTGGCTAAGCTCCAGCCATTTATGAGGACTCTGGCATTTTAAGCTCAGGTCTAAGTTTATTTGGCAGAAGGAATGAGTGGAGAAGGGAGTAAATGAACAAGAGCAGCCTCAGAGCAATTCCACTGCAGCACTTCAATGTTTCCAGCACTGCTCAGCGTTTCCAGGGAAGCAGCTTGGGAAGAGGAGGGCAGCCTGTCTGCTGTGCTCTGACAGAACTCCTCACCAACATTCACATCCCCGAATTTCCACACTGGGCTGTGTCCCCAAGTGTTCTGGGCCCAGCCAGCTCTGCTGCCCCGTGTGGGAAGGGTTGTTCAGTGAGGCCCTGCAGGCTGGTGGGTCTGAGAGAAAGGGGACCAGGGCAGCCACTGCTGAGCATATCCCTGGACATCACCTCCTCCTGCAGAGCACTCATGCCAGGAATTCCAGCGCCAGCCTGGAGGGGGTGGCAGGAAGGGAGAGCAGAGATGTACAACCTCCAGGGAAACTGAAGGCAGATGGTCCCTTCCCGAGTCTGATGTCCCAGGTCATCTCTCCCATCTAACCCCTGGTCCTGAGAGGTTGGCTGATGCTGTCCCTGAGTGTGGAAGGCAGCAGGGTGATCTGCAGCCTCTCTTCAGGAATTATCTCACTTCCCATTCAT